AAAACTTTGTTAAACACTTATAAGAAAAGCTCTTTGTAACTATAATTTTCCAGAATAGTATTTTGTGGAATATATTTCATTTTAAGAAATGTGTATAAAATACTTTGAAGATTGAGAATTTTCTTAGAATGGGTTGAATGGAAAGATGTCTTTAAAAAAGTACTGATACATAGATACTATAATACATTATAGTTTGTAGGCTACCATACTCAACTGGGTACTTTTGGACCTACTATACTTGCAAGAAACAGGAAAATATTCAACTCAGACATTCAGAACAAATTTGTATACCTATGCTACTACTTACTTGTTAGAGATAATAGAAAAAAATATCAGCAGAGAGTGATGATGTCTTCCCTAAGTAGACTTCACAAGTATTTTCTCTCTTTCATTCAAACCTGTGTTTTTCAATCAGGACTGAGAAACAAAAAGTTGTATTCATCAATGTCTTTTAAGGAAAACTATTGGATTGCCCTTATATAAAAACACCAGGGTCTTTCTATTTTTCTTTCCTATTTCATAATTTTTCTTTGCAGTATTTAAAATAGAATATGTAAACTTGATTTATCTTTTAAGCATTGCCACAACTGAGATATTTTCTAACATAGATTCTATTAATACATTTCTGGGTGTTCGGTAAAGAAAGCATTTTATTCTATCCAGTGGTTTAACTTTTTTGCCTCAAAAAACTTTTTTCCTAGTAAACCTCTGTAGTAGGTAGCCTAAATGCTACTGTGTCAAGTTCTACTCAATTTTACCCATCCATGTAGCTCAGTTTAAATAACCAACTCTAAAATTAGCTACTTATTTGTAATTCTACTTTCCTAGATTAAATACACCCTCTTTAATATCTATGATCCTTGAGTATAATTAGAAGCAAAATAATTACCTAAAATAACTCACGTAATTAAAGGACATATTAATTTTCAAATTTTAAACTGTTGTGTCTTTGCCCCTATTATGGTAGTCAAAATGAATATACTCTAGTGTTACCAAATTAAATTATCACAACAAAACAAGTTTTAAAACCTACTACAGTATGAAAACCATACGTGTAGAATCCAAGTCAATGGAGAATTTTAAAATATTCTGATCACAACAATTATTATAAAAGCTAAACTAAAAATAATGCAAGGAGTAAGAGGAAATGAAGACTTAACAGGCCCACCAGTGATATAACCGGAAATATTGTTATCACAGTTTCAGAAGGTTAACTAGTTGGTTGAGGTTTTGGAGGTCACCACTCACCAGTCACTACGAGACAAGATGGTGGCACACGAGCTTTGTTGGTGACTAACTGATAAAAGTGGTGATAAATTGATAACAAGTATCACTTAGACACACTATTCTTGATTCTATTCTCAGGACTGGGTGACTGGGAAAAAGTGGTGGGCACACTTCAAGTATAGACAGTATTCAAGAATGTATTTTGGCTTTTAGAGACCTTAAAAACCAAAAAATTAAAGTTGGTTGGTAGCCTATACCTAAACTAAGTTTTGCCACGAAGAATATACCTTATTGAACAACTACTTCCCTATGGGGAAATTCACCACTAAGAACATTGGACAGTACAGTAATTAAATTTTATCTCAAGCCATGAATAGTAACAAGAATTTTGCCAAAAAGGAGGTTTTCTATATAGTACAGTAGAATCTGTTTTTGAGAAACAACATAAGTAGAAATAGAAATTTCAAAAAAGGCGAAAAGGGCAAAAAAGCACTAGTCATTGACTTGTGAGGTTTCCCCAAAGAATCCAAGTTCAATGCAAGATTTAATATTGCTGGTTCTGTGCTATGATGCATTCACATGGAAACCTCCTAGAAACACTGTTACTCAATTTACCAAAAATAAATTAATGCAGCAAATACAGCAACATTATTATGGTTAGATTTATTATTGGATATGAACACTTGTTTGTCAGATACTAAACTGAATTGACAGTATGAGTGTGACTGAACCACTATACAGAGTTGCATCATCATCTGCTTGTAGTCTAGGCCTACTGATAACCTGATAACACACTGATAATACATAATATACTCAGCAGCTGACTGGCTGACATCCATCTGCAAATAGACTCATGCCATGTCTTTTGACCAAATCTGATAGTCTAATAATAGATGTTGTTGCAGCTTGTATAATTGGTCATATAAAGAACGGATATCATACACTATATATATTGTCTGTTTTTAATGTTTATTTTGTGCTATTATTTTACTCAAATGCATTTTATTTAATTCAAGAGTGATATTTTTTGAACACGTTATCATAGTCAAAATAGCTAATTTCTTATGTTGCGTAGGCTATTTATAAAATTAGAGGATGCATAACAACTAAAAAGGCCAAAATGTCTAATGTATGTATTTTAAAGAAATATTGCCATCTTATCTCACTCTATTCAAACAGCATAAAATCATGCAGAATGTGTGAACGAAACAACATTTCTTTGTAGGTCAGTATACCTTCTAAAATTAATACGTTGTATTTTCATCAAGGTTTTGCAGAGTACTGAAATAACTTGGAACAGGAACACCATTAGGCGTTGCATTAGTTCTGGCATTGCATTGACTATATCTTTGCAGTCAGGCCAAAAGGGGTTAAGTCATTTTTTTGACATTTCAAGGTTTTTATCTCTTCTGTATCAAAAAAATGCGCCCTTTTCAATGGTACCAACGGTTTAAGTCAGAAAAATTTGCTTTTAGAGATATTCCACTAGATATTAAGGAGCTAAGTACGAGTGTCATGATAAAAAAGGAATAAGTCAGCTTAACCCCTATTTACCAAACAGTAATTGTGATCCAAAAGTGTTAAGATGACATAGCTCTTTAGAGTCAAACAAAAATAAGGTACCTACAACAGATTTAAGTCTGACTTAAATCCTTTTGATCAAACTAAACAACATAAGGTCTGGATAAGTCAGACTTTGAAGTAGTTAAATAACAAAGGTATTGGGTTAAGTCTGGTTGAATTCCTTTTGAGGATTATCTTAATCAACATGATGGTACATAGTGATTACTAAGATTAAACATACAATTTCAATACCGGAACCAGGTTAGCTAGGCTTCTTCATTTTTACTCCTTGTAAAGTAACAGCTGGTAAATTAAAAAAACAGAAACAATAATATCCCACCCACATGACTGGGCAACATTAATAAGGTGCACAAATAAGAAGTTCAAAGTAGTTGAAATGGATCAAGAAAATTTTTTGGACTTTTCTGGACTTCTCAGTAAAACCGGACCACTAGTTCTGAAAAAGATTGACGCATCTGGTAACAGGTTCTACTGGAGACCATGCTGTTGGTTCAAATATTCAAGCTCTTTTGGAGAAGTACTGTTCAAAACATCATTGGATGAAAATGAAGTATTCCAAACTTTTTCTATAAAGCGGCGAACCAGACGAGACACAGCCTCGTTTTCTTTGCCAGAACTGAAGAAGTCATATGCTGGCCCTCTTCCTATAGCACCAGCAAAGAAGAGAGATCTGATATCGTTATTGAATGTGGTTCCAACAGTGTTCCATGAATTTTACAAAACCTGAAGACATCAAGCATTCCGGATGAAGATCCTGACCTAAGAGAAATCGACCCAGATGAGGACTAGAAGCTGGACTAGAAAATGATGTATTTCAAGTTTTGTTAATTTTTATCTCAATGGCTAATTAATAAATATTTAGTTTAACAAATAAGGCCAACTTAATTTAAAATTTGATTTTTTATCAATCACTGAATTTAAATAGGCCTAAATGCAATTTTACTTCATAATGTATGATGTAGTTTCCATTAAATAAAGTTTTAAAATTATCAATTGAAATTTTTTTTATATCCAACATAAAAAACGAACTTGTAACAAAAGTTCTTTACATTTTTTTTAAATAGCGTTAAACAGATGGTATGAATTGTAAAAATGTACTTACTCTAAAATAAGAGTTAAGTCATCTAGAATTAGATCAAAAAGACTTATGTCATGATACAAAAGAGTTAAGTCAAAGATCAAAAGGGGATAACTACAATTAATTATTATAAAAACCAAAAATGTGAAACGACAAGTTTAGAAGAATATTTTTCAGATGAATATTGACATAATATAAGTTTATGATTACATTCATATTTTAATAATTAATTATAATAACGCTTTGAAAGTGCGTTATTTTTTCTAGGCCTAACCCTGAAAACTAGCCACCATCTGACTTACTCCCGTTTGGCCTAACTGCAAAGATATATACTTACAGGTGTATATAGTCAATGGTTCTGGGCAATGTTCCAGCATTGTATGGTGGCCTATGTTTGGCAAATGTTGATTTACTTACACGTGTTTAACATGCAACACAGCTGCTGCATGAGGCCAACACGTGTGCACACCAAAACACACACACTCACCCACGTCATTGGCAACAACTTAGACATCTCATTGGCTTTATAGACAATGTTGATTGACAGATTTATGTTTTTTAACCAAGTTTATAACTTTGTTATCCGTTGGATTACAATTTGTAAATTGTAACTGGTGTCATTATAGTTAAAATTTGTTTTTGCATATCAGGAATTACAAGCTTATTTTAGGTTAGGTTAGGTTAGATATCGGTACAAAAAAAATTAATTATTGTGTCTTGGCAGTCGATGGCAGAGTTTTGGAAGACTGCAGTCACTGACAGGGCACAGGGACAAATATAATTCCCTTTTCCCCAGTCCCGTAGCGACTACAATTGTACCTGGCTGGGCGCACGGGGCAATTTCAGCATTTCTAATCTTGCAAGGCGAGCCTTCCTAATCCTCTTTAATAAGCGTGGCAGTTTCATGTTTCAAAAGCACCCAAAATGACGGGGCAGTTTCATGCCCATAATTTAATTTGACATCCTACATAAATGAGTGCATTGATCAAATGTTACGTATCTACAGTTTTTTAAGTACTTGTGTTAAACAAGGGAATTGAGTGAAATAAACACACATTTTATACAAAAATAATAATTGTTTTATAAATTTTGAATGTATGTTTGTTAAGTGTAACTTGGAAAAGGTTAACCTTCAGACTTGTGTTTGAGTCCAGTAGTCTATGTTGTCGTTGAGAGGTTCTCGATATCACCTTGTTTTGTCAAGGGATCGGTAAAGTATTGTCTTCTGTAGAAGAAAGTCTTTGCTGAGAATGCAGCGTTGATTGTGATTATGAGTTCGTTTCTTGGTCAAAACCTTCAGCAGCTGTGACAGCCGCCCTTTGCGTTTCTTGTCTTGTCTCAGCGTTAGACTCAGCAGGAAGGTGGAGCTCATCTGAGGGTCCCACTTGATGCTGCTGATCTTCACCTGACTGCCTTCCTCAGTCTCTAGCTGGATGTCCAGGGTGCAGCCCCTAGAAATTAGATAATATGCGGTACAATTACAAAGATTCTCAATAAAGTTATAGGTGAACAGAAGTTTAGCTGATTGAAATTTCTGATGGCATTGTTTCTATCATATACTTCACCATTGTGAGTTTGCGAAAAGGAGGACCATTTGCACTGAGTAGCAACATTGGTCTGGTAAGTAGTATGAACCCTTTGTGTGTTTGTAAAGATCGTGGCAATCAATGCAATGTTCCGCTCAAATAAGAAAATTAATTTTACAAAGGTAAGATTTAAAAAAACTAAATTAAAATTATTTAAATTAAAAGGAAAAGAACAACGGAGTATGCTACCAAGACACATGACTTTTTATTATTTTTTTTAAAATTAGTTCTGTGATAGCTTTATAAAGATAACCTTCGATTACCACTTTAAATTTTCCTTTGGACATGTTTAGTCCTCATTTCAGGATTAAAAAAAAAATTACCTAAGACCACAGGGCTCGCAGACGGACTGGGCCAGTATCTGGCTGGCGACTGTAGGCAGCAACTCTCGTGGCAGCAACACTTCACCACAGGATAACTGTGCAGACTTGGCAGCCCTCAACTCCTCACCTAGCCTCTGGGCCAGAGCTGAACATGCTACTTCCCACTCTGTCCCCTCTCCTGTACAAACACACCAGGAACCTACAGTGGCATTCATGGAAGATCAACGAACTTGTAGACAATGGTCGTATTCATATTTTAGCTCATGCTCAAGTCTTACGGGAAACTAGGTCGAGTAAGTATTGATTTGATATTGAACAACAAATCCATTAAAAGGTATTTGAGAGAATGAATGGTGATTTGTCTTGGACTAAAATCAGCTGATTCTTGAGCTCTCCAACCACTCAACTATTCAGCATGATGAGTCACCTTTCCATTGTTAACTTAGCTGATAAAATATGACGAAATAATGTTATGACAGTGGTTTTACGGCACACCCCAGATGAATCAACGAATCGCCATGATCCAGCTTTAATGTGCAGATGTAATGTAAAAGTGAGGACATTTCGTTGAAAAGCTAAAGAACTTCACCAATTTTCTGAAAAGCTTCTAAATTGAACTTGAATTATCTATAATTTTTTTTTACTGTAAAAACTATGGGGACATCACTAGTTGCTGGTTGGTCGTTCCCTTTGGCAACATAAAAAGCCAACTACCTATAGAAATTTCAAAAATTGTTAACAGTGGCGAAAGTTAAGTGAACAATTTACTGTACTGTCTTTTATCTATATAAAAGGCAAAGCCCTCACTGACTGACTGACTCACTCACTCACTCATCACTAATTCTCCCACTTCCCATTTACCTAGGAGGCTGAAATTCGGTACACCGATTCTTTGGGCATTAAATAGGACAACTAAACTTAAGTAGTTTTTATTCTGATCGGGCTTTCGGGCTCCGCCCCAGTGGCTCTGGAGTTTTCCATTTAACATTATGATTTTTCATATTTAAAAGGAATTAATGAATCTGAACAGCTGTTTCAATTAAACAAGTTGGTTAAATTTGAGTAGGCATACGTTTACCGAATTAACTTAAGGCATGTTGAACAGTCTTAATAAGTTTTACATGTCAAATCAATCTTACCACTCGTAATAGTCCGTTGTAAATCCCTGTTCATATGCAGAGGTAATTCTTTCACAGCAATCATAATCACAAAACACCTTCGACACATTTTAGAGACTTTAAACGAAGTGAGCGATGTAAAGTCGTCCATTTTATCAGTGACACAACAGTTTTCGTGTTCGGCCACACACTGACTTTGATCACAAATCAACCGATTTCCTCTGTTTTCACACTGATGACTCATGTTGACAAAAGTAATGTTTACTGACTAAGATACAGAATTAAGGAAATGATCAAAGTAATGCCAACATTTTATAAGCCTGTTTTGGTGATACTGCCATATCACCAAATAACAAACTAAAATAATTTCATTTTGATATAAACTTTTTTTATATGATTCCCACCAACTATCATAGTATGTAAAACTAAAAGAGAAAATAAATAGTATTTCAGTCTTCATCAGTAGTAGCTTATTCAATGAGAGGTCAATTCAACTAATTTTCTTAGAGTAAAAATACTGGATAACAGCGTGCCCTATCACTGAACACTGACTGATCACGTAGACGATTAACCAAATACACTTTTTAAACAACTTCTTAATCAGCATTGTACGTGTTATTAAATTTACGGAAAGTAAATACAAGATACGCCTACCTAAAAGATATAAATGATACCGGGTCTGATGATGATTGGAGTGTCCAATCGAAATCGATCACCACTTACCATCTTTTATGTATGTTTACCGTCTTGTGAGTAACAGTATAAGCGTAAATATGTGTTTTTGTTATTAGTGTTATTAGTAGGCGTATCTTTTATTTACTTCCCGTACTTTCTTAAAGTAATAATTTAAACACAGACTCAGTACAAAAGTCAAAAGTTGTTTCCTAAGAAATGTGTTTCTATTAACCGATGGCTGTAGTAGTACTAGAGGCTGAAACACATTAAAACCTTAGTATACGTGTAAAAAGATTACATGTTATTTTTACCAGCGCACAAAAACTGTTTAAGCTAAACAGTTTTAAAAACCATCTCCAACATGAAACATGTCACATGTATGATCATAGTCTTATACCTGGTTGTAAAGATTGTATGAGTTTTATATCGTGAAAAAGTACAACTTTGAGAATCAAATATGTTTAGTGCTGGTTTATAGTATTATTTGAAGTAACCCACGTCAACATAATCTTATGACTATTCGAATATGTTTGACTCACTATTGTTCTTCAACAATTAATTAATTATTTGAAAGTTTCATTTTGCGTTTTAATTAACCTAGTACTACGGCGCAACAAATAACAGGTATAAACAATTTGAATCGCACGATAGTCTGCGTCACAGCGACAACAAGCTGTTTACTTGGCCTACATGTAAACATCACGCCATCATGACAAAGGTGTCTCACTCGCACTGAGTGGGAGTGAGACTGGCGGGATTCCATCCCAGACACGGGATATTTCGGCTACCAGGGGGTTTGGGTCTTAAGAACGAAGCATTAGTACGTAGTAGTTATTAATGTTATCCCGGATACAGCTCACAGAGGGATAAATTAAGGTGTAGTTAGTTGAATATTATAAAATGAAGGGTTATTACAATTAAACCAATAAGTGAACTCATCGTTGATTGATGAGATCAGATTTAACCATAGCTTTAATTTAGATATATTTCCGTGAACTAGTCATCTTACTAATATTATAAATGTGAAAGTTTGTGTGTTTGTTTGTTTGTTTGTGTGTTTGAAGTTCAATCACGCATAAACCACTGGACGGATTGGGCTGAAATTTGGCATGATGATAGATTACATTCCCGATTAACATATAGGCATATTCTTATCTCAAAAATCCTTTCGGGCTCCGCCCCAGTGGCTCTGTAATTCCCCATGTTAACCTTATGAGTATTCATATTTGAAGGGAATTAAAGAATTTAGTCAGCTGTTCCAATGATATGGAAAAGCATTAAAAAGTTATAAGATTTACCAATATTTTTTTTGCATTTATGAAAACAGCTTATTTGAACTAAGCAGCAACAAAAGAACTGTGATACGCAATGAGAACTGACAAAGTAGAATTGTTTTATGTTTATGTTTTTAATTTCATGAATAATTTGTGTTATTTTGCGAATTTTTAATAATCTATCTTTCTCTATTGTGTGGGTAAAGCGGTAGAACATTATGGCTATGGTAGATGTGTAATACTATAGCATACTGTAAATTTGAGGAAGCAAATTTTCTCAAACCGTGTCTTCTCACATTGCAAACGCAAAGATCGAGTATAACTGCAATAAGCATTTTATACTTAGTTGCCAACCCCGTACGAAGGACGGGTACTCTGCTAGTTATACATAAGGTAATGTAAAGTTGTCGCTAATAAACATAGAACCTACTTCAGCACTTTTATAACCAGCCAAAAGGGGGTTTTCAATATTAAGGGATATTGGGGATTTCACAATGGGATACAAAGGGAAATATGTGACGGTATGTGGGATATTTTGACCTGTGAGTATTATTGCTGGTAAGACAAATGCAAACAAAACCGTAACTCGGTAACAATGCAAGGTCGACTTATGCCGATATAAGATAACCTACCATACGTTGAGATTTCAATTTTTCTCTTGGATTCTTTAAATATCATGCAATGATTGATAAAAGCAACCATATATAGCTCACGTAATACTGTATAGTGTAAAGTCAATGAAAAATGTGACTCGCATTATCTAATAAAAAAAGGCTTATTGGAGAATTTTGAAGTTTTTTGGCTGTGAAAAACTTTATTGGGCTGTAATTGATTATTGGGCGGAATAAAGGAACGGCTAATTAAAATTAGTAGTATAAGTACAAAGCTACACAAATTCTCCACTCTATTGGACACTTAACTTGCATTCATATCCAACTCTACATAGTACAGTAACGTCGCTATCTTGTTCAAGTGTGATCTACTACATTACATTTTCTATTCCTAAAATGAGCATGTAGACTCTACGGGCAGACGGTTGATCATACCAGTCAGTCTTGGTTAACATTCAAAGGGATTGTGTGATACAACATGTACGTAAGTTATATTTTATTTTGTACTCTTAATTTAATTTTTAAATTAAAATTAATTTGATGCCAAGACTTTGCTGATGCGAACACGATTGTTAATCTGGCTCAATTGACTTTGACTGCAAAACCTTGAAGTGCGATTGTATACGGCTGGAAATGAATATATTACATGAGTTGAAAATTGAGGAAGACAGTTTCATATTGTAAATGGTAAGGACTGCAAAGATTGTACGTAACACATAAGTAAACTGTTCAGTATTAGATTAGGCAACTGAGAAATGCTGTTATAAGTAAAGTGTTTGCGGACAATAAATAAAAAAATGAAATAAAAAAACTCTAAGAAACGGCTCCAACGATTTCTTTTGAGCCCTTGATATAATTTTATTCTATAGTTTTAATCCAATAGTCGAATAGTCAATGGTTTTATTCTAAAAATAATATTTACAATGATCTATTTGCAGGGAAAAATCTTTTTTAGTTAATGAAATTGTAATATTTTTAACATTAGCCTTATGAGCTACCATGTTTGTTACGCGTATACAAAAACATTTTAAACAAAGAATCATAACATAGTGCGAGCTACCAATATTATTCTATTAGTCTATAGTATTTGGCAGCTATACACATCAAGATTCTACCCAAAGCAAAGTTCACCCTCCATGTTTACTATAAAAGATAACCTGAGAATTATTATAACCTATTAGTTATACAGGGTGGTACAAAAACACGGACACATTTTAACATACATTTTTATTTTCAAAATTGTAACTACATGGTAACCTTTACATATATACAGATAGAAAAACTCAAAAAGTATTTGGTGATATTCAATAAATCTCAATATAGCCACAGTTTAAGGCTCTGCTGGCGTCAAATCGAAATTCAACCTCCCTCCAAAGATAAACAAAGGTGTGTGATGTGCAAATTAATCGGTGGCCATATTGAGATTTATTGAATATCATCAAAGTTTTTCAGTTTTTCTATCCGTACATATGTAAACGTTACAATTTAGTTAAAATTTTGAAGATAAAAATTTATGTTAAAATGTGTCAGTTATTTATGGACCACCTTGTATTAGTTAGCATATTATACAGTATAACCCATTAGTTTTTAATCTTAAAGCTATTTTAAGCTTACCATTGAAAATCTTAGCAGAACACATTTATCCTACTTAACATTTTTGAGGAACAATACGATTTGTAAACTGCGCAGTTTGTAGACTACAGGCGCAGCTCAGCCTCAACCTAGTTAGGGCGATCCCTGAATTCTGAGAATGACATGCGCAGCTATTAATAAACATCACCAATATATAACATACAGTATGTAATAATTCAACTATGACATGTCTGACCAGAAATGACTTTTTTGTCCCGTCTTGATCACCCCTTTGCGAGAGAGGTTCACCATCTTCCCCTCCCGACGCTGCACGTACTGCATGGAAAAATACCAACTCTGGTAAAGGCACAAAAAATATTAGAGCGACCTTGCTTGCATGGGGTGGAGACCTGTCAACACTCGTCTGATTTCTTTGTTTGTCGCAGACAAAAGCCACACTGCCTCAATAATAATTTGAAACACAGAACCGGTTGTTAATAATGTAAACTGAGTTTGGAAGTGCGGCTATTGCCTATTGCGGAAAACAAAGATTTTCACATTTGTTTGAAATTGTCCTATAGCTCAGAGACTTGTATGTGTATGTTCAACGACTTGTAATGTACAAAGTTCCTTTGGTGAACTGTATTTAACAAATTTTAGCTTCCTGCTCATTGACAAATAACAATATTCAGTAATGCGTTGTGCGACTAAGTGACGTGATACAGTACTGGTAGACTACAACGGTAAAGTTCAGTTTTTTTTGTTTTGGCGATGGAAGAATACTTGGAGAATGAGCAAGCAATGTACACATTTTATCTTTGACTTTTTAAAGAGTGTTTGGTAAATCTTTCATTAAATATTACATGTTTCAATGGAAAACCCATGGCGAAATTAAAGAAAGAGTCATTTATGGAAACATTTAAACACTATTCTACCAACAAAGATAGCGAATGAATTCACATAAACTCAACTGTGACACGTATAATATTGTTGGCCAACGATGACTCGGTTATTTAGCCCAGGCACTATTCTTGTGAATTTAAAACTTGTTTTGATAATGACGATTTCAAGAACACAACGCCCATTTTCCGGTGAAATCAAAATTTATTATA